GCAGAGTGGTTTGCACACTGTCCCTTTATTAAACCGACCTAGGTTCGTTTCTTGGTCATTGATAGCTGACGAGTGGTGCCTGCGCTAGGTGGCGGTCCTCCCCGAGCTCGACTTAGCTCCTGATGAATCCCTGGCGCTGTGCGCCCCGGGCCACATCGCCCGTTGTCCATCGTAACTTGACGCTCGGTAGCAACACTTACCTAAGCAGTCTGTACGGGGTTTCTTTGTGTGCGTGTGTTTATGCGTGGGAAGGTGAGTGTGACCGTGTATGCGAATGGGGAAGTGAGTATATTATTGAGAGGCTTGGTGGGCTCGTGGGTTGGTGAGTTTGGTGGGTGAATGGCTGCGTGGGTTGGTGAATAGGAGGGCGTGTGGGTGAACGGCTGAATGAATGGGATGGTCGGTGAGTGGGTTGGTGAGTGGGTGGGTGAATGGCTGCGTGGATGGGATGGTCGGTGAGTGGGTGGGTGAACGGCTGAATGGATGGGATGGTCGGTGAGTGGGTTGGTGAGTCGGTGGGTGAACGGCTGAATGGATGGGATGGTCGGTGAGTGGGTTGCTTAATGGGGATCGGTGCTGTAGCGGTTAGCGTGCTGCGCTACAAGCCTAGCCACCTGAGTTCGATTCCCGCTCTCAGCCAACACCAATCACGATTGTCTAAACCGGTCTTGGACCTCCCCTAGGTCAACTCAGCCTCAAATGGGTACTTGTTGCGGTGTGTAAACATCGCCACTAGGGAGACAAAGGCGGTCGGACGTGGTGCTGGCCACCCACACCCCCCTTCTGTACAGTGCCAGCACTTGCCCCAATAGTCTGTGAAGGCTATTCGTGGGAGCTTTGTCTTTAGGTTAATGGGTGAGCAGCTCGAGGAATGGGTGGGCTCGTGGGGTAAGTCGGTGGATGAGGATGTTGAGTCTGTGAGTTGGTGCGCTACGAGCGAGTGAGCGGGACGATGAGTAAGCGAGCGGGTGAACAGGAGCGAGTGGGCGCGGCTCTGTGAGTAGGCGAGCTGATGAGTGTTCAGGCTCCTGTGCCAGCTGATGAGTGTTCAGGCTGTGTGTGCTAATGATTAGTGAGGCTGCTGTGCCAGCTGATGAGTGGTCAGGCTACTGTGTGAGCTGATGAGTGTTCAGGCTCCTGTGTGAGTTGATGAGTGTTCAGGTTGCTGTGTGAGCTGATGAGTGGTCAGGCTACTGTGTGAGCTGATGAGTGGTCAGGCTGCTGTGTGAGCTGATGAGTGTTCAGGCTACTGTGTGAGCTGATGAGTGTTCAGGCTGCTGTGTGAGCTGGTGAGTGGTCAGGCTGCTGTGTGACCTGATGAGTCTTCAGGCTCCTGTGTGAGCTGGTGAGTGGTCAGGCTGATGTGTGAGCTGATGAGTGTTCAGGCTCCTGTGTGAATTGATGAGTGGTCAGGCTGCTGTGTGAGCTGATGGGTGGTCAGGCTGCTGTGTGAGCTGGTGAGTGGTCAGGCTGCTGTGTGAGTTGATGAGTGGTCAGGCTGCTGTGTGAGCTGATGAGTGGTCAGGCTGCTGTGTGAACTGATGAGTGGTCAGGCTGCTGTGCGAGCTGATGGGTGGTCAGGCTCCTGTGCCAGCTGATGAGTGTTCAGGCTGCTGTGTGAGCTGATGGGTGGTCAGGCTGCTGTGTAAGTTGATGAGTGGTCAGGCTGCTGTGTGAATTGATGAGTGGTCAGGCTACTGTGTGAGCTGATGGGTGGTCAGGCTGCTGTGTGAGCTGGTGAGTGTTCAGGCTGCTGTGTGAGCTGATGGGTGGTCAGGCTACTGTGTAAGTTGATGAGTGTTCAGGCTGCTGTGTGAGCTGATGAGTGTTCAGGCTGCTGTGTGAATTGATGAGTGGTCAGGCTGCTGTGTGAGCTGATGAGTGTTCAGGCTCCTGTGTGAGTTGATGAGTGTTCAGGTTGCTGTGTGAGCTGATGAGTGGTCAGGCTACTGTGTGAGCTGATGAGTGGTCAGGCTGCTGTGTGAGCTGATGAGTGTTCAGGCTACTGTGTGAGCTGATGAGTGTTCAGGCTGCTGTGTGAGCTGGTGAGTGGTCAGGCTGCTGTGTGACCTGATGAGTCTTCAGGCTCCTGTGTGAGCTGGTGAGTGGTCAGGCTGATGTGTGAGCTGATGAGTGTTCAGGCTCCTGTGTGAATTGATGAGTGGTCAGGCTGCTGTGTGAGCTGATGGGTGGTCAGGCTGCTGTGTGAGCTGGTGAGTGGTCAGGCTGCTGTGTGAGTTGATGAGTGGTCAGGCTGCTGTGTGAGTTGATGAGTGGTCAGGCTGCTGTGTGAGTTGATGAGTGGTCAGGCTGCTGTGTGAGCTGATGAGTGGTCAGGCTGCTGTGTGAACTGATGAGTGTTCAGGCTGCTGTGCGAGCTGATGGGTGGTCAGGCTGCTGTGTGAGCTGATGAGTGGTCAGGCTGCTGTGTGAGTTGATGAGTGGTCAGGCTGCTGTGCGAGCTGATGGGTGGTCAGGCTCCTGTGCCAGCTGATGAGTGTTCAGGCTACTGTGTGAGTAGATGAGTGGTCAGGCTGCTGTGTGAGTTGATGAGTGGTCAGGCTGCTGTGTGAATTGATGAGTGGTCAGGCTACTGTGTGAGCTGATGGGTGGTCAGGCTGCTGTGTGAGCTGGTGAGTGTTCAGGCTGCTGTGTGAGCTGATGGGTGGTCAGGCTACTGTGTAAGTTGATGAGTGTTCAGGCTGCTGTGTGAGCTGATGAGTGTTCAGGCTGCTGTGTGAATTGATGAGTGGTCAGGCTGCTGTGTGAGCTGATGAGTGTTCAGGCTGCTGTGTGAGCTGGTGAGTGGTCAGGCTGCTGTGTGGGCTGATGAGTGTTCAGGCCGCTGTGTGAGTTGATGAGTGAGTGGGTGAGCGAGCGGGGGAGGAGTTCTTTGCGGCTGGTGAGGAGGAGGAGGTGTGGGTGCGAGGAGGAGTCGCCGTCGCTATGACGACGCTTACGACTGCGTTCCCCCGCTGGAGGCTGGAATGCGTGACCTGCGTACGACCCCCCACTACACGCGGGAGATTCCGCACACAGCCTGCCGGCCAGCGGTCACTCCTGCACTGAGCAGGCCTGCTCAGTGGGGACTGCTCAGTGGGACCGGTCAGCGGGACCGGTCATTGAGACCGGTCAGTAGGCCTACTCAGTGGGCCTGTTTTGGATACGGCCTCTTGCCCTAATCCTAACTCTGACTTGACTCCCTACGAGGCTAAACCATGGCTCTCGACGTTGCTCTAAATCCAACCCTAGCCCTGACCACCACCACACTACTCACGCACACTCTGCACCATGCACACTGTCCAGACAATACAAACGAGTCGGGCAGTAGGAATGAGACGGCGCACTGCAGGCGGAGGCAGGTTTAACGCGAGGGACAGGGCGCGACCGATGCAGAGCGCAGCGGAGAGCGCGCCGACAGAGACAATCGGTGCAGGCAGGGAGCGAGAGAATCGCATCCTCCATCCCGAATCATGAGAATGCACGCGGGGGTCTGGGACTGAGCGGGGGTCTGGGAGGGCGCCGGGGTCTGGGAGGGGGCGGGGGTCTGGGAGGGTGAGGATGGTACTGTCTGTTCTCGACCGACCGGCTGTGAAACCTGGTTCCCTGCCTGTGGGATGCGTTGTGTAACGCACGCATGTACATGCGGGTGCCAGTGTGGTTGTGATGTGTCTGTGCTTGTGACTTTGTGTGTACGTGCGAGTACGGCCTTAATATGTGCTCGCTAACAGCACTTGCACTCGCAATCTGTTAAAGGCTATTTGGGCGATCTTTGTCTGCGTGCGGCGGGGGAGTGGTGGCAGAGCAGTTAGCGCACTTTGCTACGAACCCGGCGACGTGGCTCCACTTCCTGGCCACCGCCAACATCAGCGGCAAGTGACATCCCAACCAGGCCTGGGCGGCCTCTCTGCCCCCTACATCGACTCGACTTTTCAATGAGTACCTGCTGAAGCGTGTGGAACAACAGTCCTGGGGAGACAAAGGCGGTCCTGATCTCGTGCTGTCTGCACCCATCTCCCTTGTACGATCCGCTGGCCTGAACAGGCGCTCGCTGACAGCACTTCTTGCCTCAACAACAGCCTGTTGGAAAGGCTACATGGGGGGCGGGGGGGGGGATTGTGATTGGCCCATTTGTAGTTCGTGCCATGAGTGGATCAAAGTCGCAGAACGATCCAGTCCATCATCATAAGGAGCACTCTATAGCAGGCAGCACCAGCATCATCTGCAGAGGCAGCTGTTTCATCATCAGCAGAAGCACCATCGGCAACAGCATCTTAAACAGCAGTAGCTGTGTTCTTATTATCAGCAGCATTACTATTATGAGCAGCAGTATCATCAGCAACAGCAGCATGATTATCAACATCTGCAGCAGCAGCAGTCGAAGCTCTTTCATTACAAACACAAACAACATCATCTGTAGTAGCAGCAGTAGCCGACGTTTCATTATCAGCAGAGGCAACATCCTTCTGTCGTTAAAATTTTGTACTTCCTTGTTGGGCATTCAGCAGTTGGTTGTAGGCCTTCGGGAGAATATCCCCCACCATAGGAATGTGGAATTGCCCTCTTGGCCAAGAGAAGCCAATGGGAATTGGCATCGCCCAATGTTCGTTTGAGCGGGGAGACACTTTCACTTTTTGGACTTTGAACGCCACAAATCCTCACAGTCACGGCCTCCCCCCCCATGCCTGAAGCCTGGAGCGACTCGCGGTGTATCATGGGCAAGTGTCACAAACACATGCGGGGATCTGGTGCCACTGATTTTCTCAATTTTAGCCCTGGATCCCTCCGTCACCCGTCTGCGTCTGTTGCTCGTCTGCATCCATTGCGCATCTCCGTCGCGCAACTTAGTCACGTGTCTGCGTCTTCGTCGTGCGACTGCATCTCTGTCGCATGTCTGCGTCTGTTGCGCGTCTTCATCTCCTGTGTGGTGTGTCTCTGCGTTCCTCCGTGTGTAACGCCTTGTGCCTCTCGTGTGCCTGTGTCCATGTGCCCCCCCCCAGGGACGTGCTGATCACGCACGTGCGGCCCGGCACGAGCTTCCCGGGCCTGTGCGGCGACGTGCGGGAGATGTGCTCCTTCGACAGCGAGCAGCTCTTCACGATGAAGTGGATCGACGAGGAGGGTGAGGGACCCACATGAGGCCGATGACGACGATGATGAAGCTCATGATGACGACGACAATGATGACGACGACAATGACGACACGACGATGATGATGATTGGTTTTTGAGAGACCCGCCCTCCCGGATGCCAGGGGCGTCCCAAAGCATTGTACGTCACACTCTCACATCAACGCATTTTAAAGGGCACCCCCAGTGGCAGCTTTCCTCGTGCGGCACAAAGTGACTCGGCAGCGGGCCCGCCAGCGAGCTTTAAATGCCTCTCCTCTTCTTTGGAACGGTGTCTGACGTTTTAGCATCATCCTTGGCGACGGGGGGGGAGGTAGGAAGGCCCCTTTTCCAATGTATTCCTGAAGATGGTCCCAGCTCAGGGATTGAAAACGTCTGACTTCGTGCTGAACGATTCCAAAAGCGCAGCGAAAGGAGCATTGCAGCAGCACAGCCGTGTCAAAATCTGCCCTGACGTACACGCTGACCCCCGATCGGTGACCCCCCCCCCCCCGTGACCCCATATGACCCCCGTGACCCCCCCCCTCCCGTGTGTGGACAGGCGACCCCTGCACCATCTCGTCGCAGATAGAGCTGGAGGAAGCTTTCCGTCTCTACGAGATCAACAAGGACTCGGAGCTCATCATCCACGGTATGGGCCTTCCCCCCTCCCCCCCGCCACTACTGGGCCCACCCGTCCCCCCCCCCCTTCGTTCATGGCAAGGGCCCCCCCCCGCTATCAGGGTGGTGACGTTGCACGGCCGGGGGAGCTCGTTTCTGCCTCTTTGCCGCAGAGGTTGGCACGCTTCGAGCCGTGGCGGCTGCCCCCCAGGTAGACGCTGCGGGCGAGACGGGGGAAAGCGCGTGCCGGTGCTCCTCCCCGCTCCCCGCTCCACCAGGCGTTGTGGTGGCGGCTAAAGATCCCCGTGCCGTTGTCGGAACGGGACGGGGGGCGGGTGCTGGGGGCGGGGAGGAGGCGCCGGTCGCGTGCCGGTGTCCCGGGTCCGCGTTTCGTCAAGTTGTGTCGGAAGATGGCCAACCGCAAGTTACTTTGCGGAGCAACTTCGCCCTCGACTGACAGACTAGCCGCCTGTGAAACAGCGGCGTGTTCGTGATAGCCTTGCGTGATAAGAGGACGACCAGTTCTACTGATTATTCATTTATTCGTCTGATTTGCATGCCGTGTGTGTGCGCGTGCGTGCGTGTGTGTGTGTGCAGTATTCCCAACGATCCCAGAGAGACCAGGAATGCCGTGTCCAGGAGAAGACAGTATGTACCCATGCACACGCTCACACGATCACTCACACACACACACACTAACATGCTTTCACACACATTTACACACACACATACTAACACACATAAACAATAACACTCGCACACTGACATACACTAACACACTCTCACACATTCACACTACTACACTCACAAGGACAAAGATCCCCCGTATAGCCTTAACAGACTGTTGGGGCAAGTCCTGTTAGCGAGTAGCACCTGTGAAGGCTGGCACGCCCGGCCACCTTTATCTCCCGAGTGGCGATGTTTACTACACACCACACCAGGTACTCATTTGAGGCTGAGTCGACCTCGGGGAGGTCCTGAACCGGTTCAGATAATCGTCACCGGTGTTGGTGGCCTTGAGCTCGCACGTAACCCGCTAACCACCCATGCAGACTTAACTCCCATGCAGAATAACTCCCATACGCATTGTGTGCATCTGCTTATATGTGCGTGCACTTGTATGTGCGTGTGTGTACATAACGCAGCTGCCAGTCATCTTCCTGTAACACCTGCGGGGGGAGGGGGGGGTTTGTCCCGTGACCTCTTTCCTACCAGCAGCAGCAGCAGCGAGACTCCCACACATCACCTAGCCTGGCGTAAGCCCCGCGGTGACGTCACCGCCAATTAGTGGCAATTGGGGGCGGCTGCTGTTGTTGTTGCTCTTGCTGCTGTTCTTGTTGCTGCTTTTGCTGCTGCTGTTGTTGTTGCTGCTGCTGCTGCTGTTGTTGCTGCTACTGTTGTTGCTGCTTCTGTTGTCTATGCTGCCTGCTGCTGTTGTTGCTGCTGCTGTTGCTGCTACTGTTGTTGCTGTTGTTGTTGCTGCTGTTGTTGCTGCTACTGTTGTTGCTGCTGCTGTTGTTGCTGCTGCTGCTGTTGTTGTTGCTGCTGCTGTTGTTGCTGCTGCTGCTGTTGTTGTTGTTGCTGCTGCTGTTGTTGCTGCTGTTGCTGCTGCTGCTGTTGTTGCTGCTGTTGCTGCTGCTGTTGTTGTTGCTGCTGTTGTTGCTGCTGCTGTTGTTGCTGCTGTTGTTGCTGCTGCTGTTGTTGCTGCTACTGTTGTTGCTGCTACTGTTGTTGCTGCTCCTGTTCTAGCTGCATCTGTTGTTGCTGCTGCTGTTATTGTTGCTGTTGTTGCTGCTGCTGTTGTTGTTGCTGTTGTTGCTGCCGCTGTTGCTGCTACTTCTGTTGCTGCTGCTGCTGTCGCGTAAATGATGAATGAGACGGCATCCTCGTGCTGCGGTTGTGAGTTTCCGTGCACAGCATCGAGCGAGCGTAAAAACGATCGATGCGTCAGCTCCGTCCGTTTGTAGCGGAGCGGGAGAGGAAGTTAGGTCACGGTCGTGACTCAATACGAACGGAACTCGACTATTTCGTTGCCTTTCCTATTAGGCGCTCGCCATAGAGAAAACGCGGCCACACTGATCGGAGCGTTCCTCTGATCTTACTTCACCATGCCCGTCTGTGTCGGTTGGTAAAGGCGGCGGCGAGCATAGCTGAGTGTACCACGCTACGCCGTGCCCGCACTTGTCACTTAATCACCAGCATCGGGGGAGGGCTGTGCCGCCCCCCCCCTCCCCCCCACACGATCACACAATCACACGCGTGTGGTCATCATTGAGCTGACGAACTCTGCAACACGGATTTGATTCCCGCTCACGGCCAACACCAGTGGCGATTATCTTAACAGGTCCTGGGCCTCCCCTAGGTCGACTGGTGCGATGTGTTGTAAACATCGCTACTGGGGAGACAAAGGCGGTCAGGTCTGTTGTTGGCCACCCACCCCTCTTGTACCGTGCCAGGCTTCATAGGTGCTCGCTAACAGCACTTGCCCCGACATTCTCTTAAGGCTATACGGGGAATCTTTGTCATTGTTTGTGTGTGTGGAAGTGTGGGGAAATGGGTATTTTGTCCCATCAAACATTCCACCGCTTAAACTCCCCATTCGTGATGGAGCAGTTGTGGAGAATTTTCCATAAGCGCAGTGTGCTTATGGCCATCTCCGGTTTTATAGCAGACGTCTCGCTCTGAATTAGTCGAGCGGCATTATCATTTCATCGGCTGCGTAACACTGCTGTGTGGAATTTACCTGGTTTGTCACTCCACACGAAGCTTCGGGTCTTCTCGGCCACGATCATGCCTCCCTTCTCTATGTTTGCGAAACGTGGACCCCCCCTAATGGAACATCTTCGCCGGTTAGAAACATTGAGGCTCGCCTGACATCTTGGGTTTAACCAGGCTGGGTTGTGTGAGGAGCTCACAAATCCTTTGAAAGGTCTGGAGACATTCCCATTAGTGAGCTCCTCTTGCAGGCAGGGGGCAAAACAGGCACGACATGGGCTGGAGAAGAGATGGAGTGATGCGGTACGGGAGGATGTGGAGCTGAGTGGACTTGCCGAAGACTGGTACCAGCGGTGTCAAGATCGGCCTCTGGAGGAGGCTCGTGAAGGACGCTACTGGGCAGTTGGAGGCAGTCGCCCTCCAACAACAATGGAGGGCAGAAGAGCGACGCTGGTTCATCTACCGGTCGTCTCAGTCAGTCAACCCATGGCACCTGGGTCTGTCCTGTGACCTCCTGTCAGCGAGCCTTTGACATTTCACGCGGCCTCAAAGTGCACCTGGCCTGGCACGGGTGCCGTGGTGACGTCACCGTCACTTAGCGGTGAATGGTGGGTATTGGTATTGGAACGGTGGTGTAGTGGTTAGCGCCCTGCGCTACAAACCCAGTGACCTGAGTTAGATTCCCACTCACGGCCAACACCGGTGACGATTATCTGAACAGGTCCCTAGGCCTTCCCGTGGTCGACTCGGTTTTAAATGAATACCTGGTGTGGCGTGTAAACATCGTCACTGGGGAAACAAAGGTGGCCGGGCGTTTTGCTGGCCACCAACCCTGTCGTGTGCTTTGTCGGCCTTCATAGGTGCTCGCTGACGGCACTTGCCCTGACAGTCTGTTGAGGCTACACGGGAGCGAGGGGGGGTTGGAGATCTTTGTCCTGCACCACCAACTTCTCATTGCTGTGCTCGGCGCCGCTTCCACGGCAACCTCGCGCCATTCGCATCGCACCTCCGATTAGCGTGGTTGGCTACGTAAGGCGCGAAAGAAGTTCCATGTACAGCACATGCAGAGGTCAAATTCGACGGGGTTAGCGCCATGCCCCACACTCATTGTCGTCTACGCGCCACCATCGCCACGGCCAAACGATCACCGTCATACATCAGAATTATCCTTCGCTAAAATCAATTATCCATCATCGTCATCTGTGATGTTTAATTATCGCCATCATCATTTCTCCACGCCCGGTTAATCATTATCAATCGCAGCTTTCCTTCATCAGAACGAAAACCACCATGTCAGAAGCCACCTCTTTTCTCCAGCGGTCATCATCCCCCAGTCCGGCATCGATGCAACGGCGGCTGCCCTCGTTGGTCAACACGGCGGTCGTCCTCTGCTGTGAGAGTCATCCCTCTCCTGCCCCCGGCATGAGAACGTGGAATTTCCACGGATGGATCAAGGGCACGCATCCTGAATGTGGAAACAACCCTCAATGGGAGCTCCCCCCGCGCCCCTCCCCCCGGCGCCCCCCCGCGCCCCTCCTCCCAGCTCCCCCCTCGTCCGTTTGCGTGGTTCCACATCGTGCGCTGAGAATCAATAAGGGAGGCGTCGCTATGCAACGTGCACGCTGCACCTTGTGTACGCTGCACCTTGTGTACGCTGCACAGTGTGCACGCTGCACCTTGTGTACGCTGCACCTTGTGTACGCTGCACCTTGTGTACGCTGCACATTGTGTACGCTGCACTGTGTGTACGCTGCACCTTGTGCACGCTTTGCACCTTGTGCACGCTGCACCGTGTACACGCTGCACCGTGTACACGCTGCACCTTGTGCACGCTGCACCTTGTGTATGCTTCACCGTGTGTACGCTGCACAGTGTGCACGCTGCACCTTGTGTACGCTGCACAGTGTGCACGCTGCACATTGTGCGCGCTGCACTGTGTGTACGCTGCACCTTGTGCACGCTGCACCTTGTGCACGCTGCACATTGTGTACGCTGCACATTGTGCACGATGCACCTTGTGCACGCTGCACCGTGTGTACGCGTACACTGCACCGTGTGTACGCTGCACCGTGTGTACGCTGCACCGTGTGCACGCTGCACCGCGTGTACGCTGCACCTTGTGCACGCTGCACCGTGTGCACGCTGCACCTTGTGCACGATGCACCGTGTGTACGCTGCACCGTGTGTACGCTGCACCGTGTGTACGCTGCACCGTGTGTACGCTGTATACGGAAGGGGCGCAGTGCTCCTCCGTGGATCCGGGGGTAAACACGAGACAACGCGCAGGAGGGTGAGAGTGGGCGAGGGGAGGGAGAGTGGGCGAGGGGAGGGAGAGTGGGCGACAGAGAGTGAGAGAGAGAGAGGAGTCACGTGGGGGGAGAGAGAGGGGGACAGAGAGACGGGTAGATACATACTGGGAGAGAGGGAGAGACACTGGAAAAGAGGCCGTGGTGTGCTCGGTGGCAGAAGACGGTAGAGAGCTCTGCATGCAGATCTGAGCTACCCGTCGGAGGCCGTAGGACTGCGGGAAGAGCTTCGTGCAGATGCAGCACTTGTCGTAAAAAATAATAATATTACAAATAATACATAGAAAACATAGGGGGAACATAGACATGGAGTAGGGAGAGAGGTGGTAGAGAGAGAGGGGTAGAGAGAGAGAGGAGGTAGAGAGAGAGGGAAGGGGTAATCATTTAAAAGGGGGGGGGGGGGGGTTACATAAAGCAAAGCATGATGAACGAAGCAAAGTGCCGACTACACCGAGCATCTTCTTGTTTCCTCTGATTGTACAAAAAAAGGAGACACTGGGAGAGAGGGAGAGATGTTGGGGAGAGGGAGAGACACTGGGGAGAGGGAGAGACACTGGGGAGAGTGAGAGACGCTGGGAGAGGGAGATACACTGGGGAGAGGGAGATACGCTGGGGAGAGAGGGAGAC